CTCTCTCTCTTTCCTCTCTTTCCCCTTTTTATCCTCTCTCTCTCTCTTTCTCCTCTCTTTTTCTCCTCTCTCTCTCTCTCTCTCTCTCTCTCTCTCTCCTCTCTCGGTTTTTCCTGTCTCTCTCATCCCCCTGTCTCTCTCTCTCTCGCTCGCTCATCTCTCTCTTTCTGTCTCTCTCTTCTCTCTCTGCTCCTTTTCTGAGCTTTCTGATGCGGGGGAAAAAGTTCACTTCACCCCTTTTCTGGGGTGTGATAGGTTCTGACTGCGTGCGCGCAGTTTTCTAAAACGAATTATCCCCCAGTCATCACGTTTCTCCGGGAAAGGACCCTTTTTGGAGAGAGGGTAATTTATAAAGGCTGTTGAAATTGGCAATAGAGCAGCGCGCGTTTCTTCTTTGACTTTGGGGGATAGTAAGAGTGTTTTCTTCACCATAAGAAAAAAAAAAGAGGGCTGGGCTGGTGGAAGGGATGCCGGGGTCTTGGCAGAGCTTCCGCGTGGATTTTCCAGTAAGGAGAAGGAGAGGTTAAAGGCAGCAACCGCCCCGCAGTGTGGAGAAGTTTCTCAGGCAGCTGCCACACAGCAGTGGGATGTAATTAATATAAAGGTCTGTGAAAGTTTAAGCCAGTGGTTGTAAACGAAGTAGCATCATCATAACGGTCATTAAAACCTAGCTGTATTTATAGATTCTAAGCAATTTAGCTGAAGTGTTAATTAAACTTGAAAGTTTTTTTTTTAATGTGGCGATTAAAGAAGAAGCAGAAACCCTTACTGGGCATGGTTACCCGAACTTCCACTAGATTTCTTGCGATGCAATGGTTTCTCTTAAGGTATTCTAATATCTCATTAAACAGGCAGTTGCAGAGGAGGCAAGAGGTGAAGGGAGCTTAAGTAGAATTCTCAGGATGCTAATTGGACAGGTTAGAATTAGGGTAGGTATTCATGTAGATAATGCAAAAGTCCATGTACCTATTAATGTGTTGCTAAATGATAATTTCCCAAAAAGATGAATGTATATAATTCCTGCATTTTCCCATGAGTACAGAAGAAAGCACATCACCTCTCTCTGCCTTTTTAGCTTGAATTTCCTGGGCATGAAATGCTAACCTTTGTATACTTTCTGAAAAATTATTTAGGCAGCTAGATTATGGGATATGGGTCTGTTGAATGTTCTATGATTCTGGCATTTGACCAAACATCAAAGAATCTGTACAGCAGCTTGAAGGTGAAACTTGATATATCAGCCTCCCCTTCCAAATATATTTGTTGGCTTTCATTTTTGATGCATGCCATTGGAAGAAAATATCCTCAAAAACAACTTCTCCAGAAGTATGTGTCTGTGTTCGTATCAGAAATTGCTAATTAGTTGAGTTAAATGACTAATATGAAGTAGTTTTCCATTCCACTCAAAGATGTGATGTAAACTTTCCTAGATACTAGCACTGACAAGAAGAACATATGTAAATGTGTGGCATCCATGAGAGATATACAGAATCATAGTAAATTGTTTCCAAACAGCCTGAATTTGGTGAAAATTTAGAATTTGATAACCATACTGTCAAAACAAGGGCAGGAATGTTAAGATTACCAGCCTGAAGTTTGTGCATTGATGCAGTGTAACTGCTTCTTGTTTTCTAGCTGAATTCCAGACGTCTGAAGTTTATAACCTGATCTTGTGTCATATATTTCAAAGGTAAGTCTTTTACTGCATGTGCTAAAGTGGTTTTTTTTTAAAAAAAACATTCTGTTGGAAAAAAGTGCTTGTTTGGGTTACACAAAAGACTAGGCTAAAACATGACAGCCTTGCTGATCAGTGTGGCTAGTTATGAGTCACTGTCTTCTGCCGTTAATTCATCAGTAATAGTTAACTAAAGGCTAGCATATTGTGCAAACAAAATTTAAGCCAGAATCCACACCTTACAGTTCATCATGTGATAGCAAGGTTGGCACAATGCATAAAGTTCAAACTTAGAAAAACCCACCATGGCATAACAGAGTATGCAAATTTAAGCAGTATAAGTGATGAGATTTCAACTGATGCTAAATGTGCCAATCATTGCAGCCTTATAATATTCTTTGCAAATTCTAAAAAACCTGGGTGTTGGATAAGACACAGTAGAAGAAATTGGATGTGAAACCATGTTTTTACATCACTGACCCGATGGGGCTTCTTTAAAAGAGGGGGGAGGGGAAATGCCCTTAAGGTAGTCCAGCTCTTTGTCAAGATGTAATCTAGGGTTCCAGATGGTAAATGTTCAAAGGAATATTTATGGCTACTGCTGCATACCTCTGGTTGACATTTGGTTCCTTCCTGACAGCATTTATACTGGGCACAAACACATGAAGTTCCCATTAGTAACTTAACAGCTGTAAAACTATTCAGAGAGCTTAAAAGATGCTGCAATACTACATTGAAGAATAAGGAAAAATATTCTCAACTGCTAGAGAAAACCACTTGTGGCTGGCAAAGCTGCCAGTTATGCAAAAAGACCTTCCAATTTCAATTGCTTTTTCTCTGTTTTGAAGCATGATCCTTTTTAAAATGAAAAGTCACATATACCAGATGAGTCAAAAGCTTTTATGCTGAATGGCTAATCTGCCAAATTTGAAGAAGAAAAGTGTCAAAACACTGGTAAACCTATTAAATGGTAGATGAGTTTTACGGTAGATGAGTTAAGAATACAGGAAATTGCCTTATACTGGCTGGGTTTACATAACCTGCTCAGATAAAATGTAGTTTGTGGCCAAACATGTTGGTTGAACTGTGGTGTAACCCTGACCAATAGTGGTTTACTTAATAAACCATGGCATAGTATATTGGAGGCTTAGCACAGACTCAGTGTTGGCATGTTTTAGAGTGGATTTTTTTCCTACTTCTATCTGGAGATGCCAAACTATTGGCATGACTACTGAGCTGTTCCCCCCTCCCCAGGTTAATAGGAAGCTTAAACTTAATCAAATAATAGCCATCTGGCTATGAAAAGTAAAAGTTATCCAGACTTTATGAGGTTTTCTTTCCTCCTCAACACTAAATAGAAATAGCTGACACTGGTCCTATGAAGATAAGTTTCTTGGGCTAAGGAATGATGGGATATGAATGATGGGATATGAGTGATCACAGGCATGTCTGGGAAGAGTTGAATTGAAGTAAAACAATCTGATGTGCTTTTTATATGCTTGCTTAGGATTTATAGTCCAACACGCGTGCACATACACACACACGTGGTTAGATTCAGAAATATAATTTAATTGAACCAAATAGTAGTAGTTGCTTTAACCCAGCTCATTTGTCCTTCCCTCCCTCTCCCACCTTAATGTCAGGCAAATGGCAAATGCAGTAACTTCTTTGAGGAACAAGGTACTTTACTTTGATGTATATTTACATAATTGTGTATTAGTTTATTACTTGGCATTTTGCCTTTTGGCACTTCACTGTCAAGGTAGATGAGAGTGCTCTACTCATCATATGTTGCTTGATACTTTTGTGATTTGAGCTTTCTATTAGCTGATGCACTATATAATTGCTGAATAATCTATACAAGTATATGCACTTTTAAAACATTTTTTAAATGTGCTGAACCAGTGATACAAACATGTCACCTCATCTTGCCAAGTGTCTGCCCCAGAGAACTTGAAAAGAAATTACTGGCTCCTTTGAAATAACAGCAAATATTGGGAGAATAATTATATCAAATGATGGTTTTCACTCAGAGCAGGAATCAATGAAAAGAGATCACGAAATACATTGAAATGTAGTGGCTTAGTATTTTCAAATATGGAAAGAATTATAAACCAAAACTCTCAAAGGAAGTTAGTCAACCATGGGAATAATGATTTTTGAATCTTTTTCAAATACTGTTCTAAGTCTTCAATTACAAAGGATTTTAAAGACATTATTATCAATGTTTTGAAACTTGTATAGTCACAATCAAATAATTGTCTAGGCAGATTTTGCTTTCTTATGTTATTACTGGGTGGTAAATGGATGTGTTGGTTGTTGTCCAGTTATGTGCTTTTACTAATAAAACTAGGCAAGTTGATTTCAGCTCCCATCTGCTCTCAGAATCTGCAGATATTCTTTCATCTTTCTAGAATAGATTTTGACAATGTGAAGTGTTAGTTAGATTAAAAATCCATCATGCTCATGCAAGTCTGCTTGTATGATACTGGATCCTGTTATATTATTACCATATTAAACTGGATTATTTGTTCTGATTTCTCATGGTTTGGAAAATAAAAGGATGACTTCTTGATATCCAAGGATTTATCCTTGGATTTACTGCATACTATTCTGTAAGAGCTAGCTTTGTTCTCTGACTATCGTAGAAGCAATGTCATCATTTTTGATGTTTAGTCAAAATGCTATAAGCAGGTTAAAGAAATCCAAGAAGATAGGATAGTATTGGTATTCAAGGTAGGTCAAAATACCTGCATTTGCTGACCTTTGTTCATAATGTGCTGTTTAATCCTCTTGTTGTAGTGGAGGAAAATATAACAGCAATAATCTACAGACTAGCTTTTTTCACCTATATTAGAACAGCAACACTTAAAATTGTCAAGCATTTATGCTCTCTCCGTCTGTCTCTGTCTCTCTGTCTGTCTGTCTTTTTCTCTCTCTCTNCAAAATCCCCATTTCCTCCCAATCAGCTGGGACTCAGGAGGCAGATAATAGATGTGGGTGGAGAGGTGTCAGAGGTGGTATTTACCAGTTCTCCGAACTACTCAAAGTTTCCGCTACCATTTCTCCAGAACTGGTCAGAACCTTCTGAATCCCATCTCTGCTTGGAACAAGAAGCCTAATAGATCTTAATTTGCTGTTTTGCCCAAGATTCAGGTATTTTTTCTAGCCCTGTGAGAATTTGGGTGGGATGAATCAGGCAGAAGCTGTACTCAGAAATAATGAGCAGCTGTTTGTTCTTTGATCTTCCCAGTGTTGATTCTTGATCAGATGGTACAGTTGCTGCCAAAGCAGTCTACAATTTGGGGGCAGTTCTAGACTCATAATTACTGATAGTGGATGGATATGGATAAGTGGATAGACCGTCTTTGTCCAGCTGATGCATTAGTTATAGCTTTACCTGATCATGAGAATCTCGCAATCTTATGACTTTCCCACCAGTGTAGATTACTGCCATGTTGTGTTATACATGAGGCTGCTTTGAAGGCCATGCAGAAGTTCCATTTGGTCCAGTATTTGAGAGCTGGCTGCTGACTGGCACACATCCATGCACCAGGCCCTGCATTGGCTCTGTAACTATTTGATTCTAGTTGTACTTCAAAGTGTTGTTTTTAAGTATGAAATCATTACATCTCTTGGCACTGGGTTTGCTAGACTAATGATTTTAACCCACTCAATCAATAAAGTGAGGATAGGGATTCCTTCACTTTGAAATTGCTTCTCTCTGGGAATATGAACTTTTTGGGGAAACCTTTGTCACATGAGCTAACATTATAGGTTACATTAATCTGCTACTATGTATGTAAGATTTCTTATACTATTTGGTTTTGTTATACAAATATGTGTAGTTTGTATTGATGTATGTTGCAAACTTCTTAGAATCTGACTGCAGCAAAAATAAAATACGAGGATCTGAACATAATATAAATATTTACAAGCAGAGTAGATGCTCAGCCGCTGTGTGATTCCTCATCCCAGTTTCTTACCCAAGTGAATTTATTTACATTTCAGCAAAGTTTTGGTGGGGGGGAGTTCCCAAGTTTGCTTGTATTTTTCTCTTGTGAAAAAAGAGGAATTTTGGCAATACAATATAAATAGTCGTATTGACAGCATAAATCATAGAATTAAATGGTCTGTCAAGTTAAAAGTCCATATTAAGTGTGGGAAAAATGTCAGGGTAAGGTAGTATACAACAGTGAATTTACCAACAATGGAGCTTGTGCTTTAGAATTACCTTGACCTATTACTGAATGTGTAATTTATTTTGTTTTAAATCTGATCAGAGTAAGGTCATTCTGACCTAGTCAGGATTTCATTTTCCATTCACTATTTATGGTAGGTTGTTTAACTAAAGCAGTTATAACAATCTCTTTCCAAATCTCTAAAAGACATGGAGTTAGGAGATAATATGCAAATGCAGGTTGCCTCTGACCCAGTTTACTTGTATGGAATGCTACGACCTTTTAAAGAATGTGTTGCTTTATGCCTGCATGTGCTGGCTGGATTCTTTACTTGTTCTATTCAATAGATCCAATAGACTTCAAGTGCAGAACATGAATATATGAACAGACTTTGATATCAGAGTCTGCTTAAAAGATCTTAAGATTAAGTTGGATTATAGCAGGAACAGTAACATGATTTAATGTTAGGGACAGAGATTAAAATATATTTGGAATTATAAATGCTGTAAATATTGGAAGGCATTTCTGTGTATTTTTTCTTTTCTATTTTTCTTTAATTTTTATTTATTGAAGTTTAGTAGTAGTATCTTAATTATTTTACTATGCAAATAACAACTCATTCTATGTCTGCACTTTTAATTCACACCCAGTTTTTAAGCTGTTTGCAGTATTTGTAATATTTTAGATATTCCTTGAGCAGTTAGAACATACTTTGGATGTAGTGTTACTGACAGGATAGAGGTGAAACTGAAATCTGCAATTTCACAGGTTCTTACATTTGGTATTCAAGAGCATGCAAATATGAAACAAACTCAAGCAAATATAAAAGAAATT